CTGTGTCATGTACAGGTACAAGATCCTGTAACTGTATTGTTTGCTTTAAATGTACCAATAAATTTAATGGGGAAAATATATTGTCAGTATGTAATGAAGTTAACTGAGAGTACCTTCATTTTCTCCCGGGTTACTATCAGACAATGGGGGGCAGGGGTGTGGGGAAGAATGAGAACCAAGACCTGTCATGTACAGGTACAAGATCCTGTAACTGTATTGTTTGCTTTAAATGTACCAATAAATTTAATGGGGAAAATATATTGTCAGTATGTAATGAAGTTAACTGAGAGTACCTTCATTTTCTCCCGGGTTACTTTATCAGACAAGTGGATAGAAATATTTCTTAATAACTCCACTATAAATGCAATATTTCCAGATGTGGCTTCTGATGACTTCACGGGATTAATTATACAGGCAAAGTCGAAGGGGCAGTTCTTAAGGATCCCTTGAGTGATGCTCTCCACTGGCTCTGGAGCTCGGAGGTCAAGAACATTCAAAGGTATTGAGGCCGATGCTAAGGAAAGGTGTAAAGCAGCATTTGAGTCCTGTTTGGGGGAAAAAATCATTCAGAAATGACTGAGTACCTAACATGTCAGACTGAAGGAACTAAAGGCACCAGCATTCCACACGGGGACACCTTTGGAGAAGCACATGGTTCTGGTGGGGTGCGGGGCTCAAGACTGAGAAGCGGAGATGGTAAGTTAAGGTCCAGGTGGGCAGGGATTCCACCCAAATCCCCACCGAGATCAGACACTGAACTTGCTTAGTTCAATCTTCTCTCGGGACCCTGGCTTCTATTTAACATTGTGATAACAGGTCGATTTTCCAGACTGTGGGGAAAGACAAGCCACCTGGAAATTCACAGGAGAGCCGTGCTCAGGGGTTTGTGGTTCAAACACCAGCCGCTAAGGAATTGCAATGGTGAACTTTAAGTTACTCGCTCATTTCCTGAGGCTTTTCCCTGGATTTCTCTCCATGTGACCCTGAATAAGGCCAAGCAGGAATTCGTCTCCTCTAACTCGTGTTTGGACACCGCAAAATCAGAAAGAAGTTCACAAAGCTGATGTCAAAATTGCAGGGAGTGAAGGCCTCTACACACTTCAGTATGATTGCAAGGAAAATGGAAAGAAATGATTGCTAAGTGGAAAGAGAGAGAGAAAAGATTTTAATTTTAACTGAGATGTATGGCATTCACTGGATTTCTATTCATTCTAGATCATACATCTCTCCTTTCTTTTGGTCAAGGGGTTGAAAGCATTACAAAAAGATATCAACTTTAATTTAATTCTAATCATATTCATTTGAGCAACTGATTAATACAAGAGGTACACAAACCCACTTTTAAAGCCAAAACTTAATGTCTAAGCAGTTGTTTGCGCTATGGTATAAATAAGTTTCAGATCTTGTATAAGAAAATAGTTGAAAGGGGGAAATAATGAAAGTTGGGAGAAGGAAGAGTCCCTGAGCATTGGGGTAAGAAGAAAGAACAAGATACAATTAAGCCACTCTGTGGATTTTCCTAAATCCAGGTCTGAAACGTATTGTCTTGCTGAACAGATGACATTAAAAATGTGTTCACCACCCCATAGGGGATTCGCTCTTATCCAGAAACATGTAAATACACTACCTTGAACAGTGTCTCCACAGAAAGGCTTGTACACGTTTCCGTTGATTTTTGCCACATTTTTTGGTGACATCTATATTGATTTCTCCC